AACCAAGAGGGTAAGAGTTTGAGTGAAATGATTTATGGTTTAGAAGGTGTTAGAGGTTAATGAAAATAAATGTGATGGTTATGATGAACTTGAAAGGAGAGATTGTAAGGATTGAGGAATGGGACTGTGCTAAATCGCAAGAGGGATTGAATTGAAATGTGAAATAAAGAGTAACTTGAGAAAAAGGAAAGGAATTATGAAGGCTTGAATGATTTGCCTAAGCTATGGTTCAATATATTATGTGTTGCACTAAAATTATTCATGAGTGTGAAATTATAAAACCATGAGATTATGACTTATGATGAGAAATATATGTTATGCCCTGAGTTCCTAAACTATATTATCTTGAAATTATTATGAACTCAGTGAGATTGATTGTGAAACTCATGGTATCTATCTATCCATGCTGAGGCATGTGACTCATGGAGATTATCTATCCATGTTGCTAAGTCTATGATGACTTTTAGCTTGATGCTATATGCTATGATGTTAAGTCCATAGTGACTCCTATTATTACTGTGCAATAGCCCCAAGTAGCTAAATGAAATGAATTGAGAAAACTATCACAAGAAAACTGAAAATGCAACTTCATACATCATATATTATTTTGTGAAACGACTTGATGGCATTACAGAGGCACATTTGTAGGTATTAGAAGTTCGGTCCAAAGTAAACCTTTTGGGGGTGGCGAAAGGGGGAACATTCGACCTAAGTGGCACATGGCAGCTGAGCTCCCTGTAGCTGGGCCATGGCCCGCTTGCAAGACCTTAGCCAAACCTGACATGAACTCCATAATACTAGGGTCATAGAGGTCCATTCCTGAACGTGCCAAATGGCACTACACATCAATGATGTGCTATTATTCTATTTTTTCTATCTATGATATCACTGTGCAGAGTAGGAAATAGAGTCCTCCAATCGCCATATGACTTGAATCTATCTATCTATCTCTATGCTAAAAGCTGAGCAACTCACCAGTCATAGAGGAATGGGATCTCCATGCATCATTTGCATGCTATTAACACATGACTGACTATATGGGTGAGATCGAAATCTGCATTCATGCATCATGTGCATTACTATTAGGGATGATTGAATACTTGTGAGATTTGCTATGATTATGATTACATTTATCTCTCTATCATATGATTGAACCTTTGATGATACTGAATATGGATTGTTAGATTGAGTTGTGACTGTACGCCGCCTTCCTTGGGGTATGGCTATATATGATGATTGTGTTTGGAGAACTCACCCCTTCGTTTGTGTTGTTTCATATCGCTTTTCTTTTATTTATATAGATGGATAGGAACAAGGTAAAGGTGTGGATCCTTCCTTCCGAGGATGATATGTGGGTGTTCGACTCCGCGGCCTGACACGTGGTTGCACACGGGTCAAAATACACCTAATTACTATAGTACAAAATAAGCAACTAGGGTCGTTTCTCAAAGAATCAGAAGGACAAATTAATCTATTTAGAGAGTATATAAAACGGGGGGTTTGTTTATAAAAGAAACCAAAAAAGCACTTAATTATTATTAGAATGAAGAGTGAACAAAAATTGAAATTTCAATCCAAGAATTAAGAAGAAAAATGACTACTCTATCACCGGATTTTTAAGAGAGTACATCAACAAACAATTCGGTAATTAACAATGAATCCGAATGAAACCTCAATTCAAACTCAGCATTCACATGAAAACCTTCATGCATTCGATTAGCACATAATTAATTAAAATTCAGAAAACTCTAGAACCTAATTGAATTGTACCAATTTAATTTACCAATGCCGTTAATTGTAGTTTTTAAACCTGAAAATCCAATTCATGTTCCTTAAAACTTAATTACATACATCAATTGAATAATACGTAATCAAACAGATGCATAATCATCAATCCAAATGAATAACTTCAATTTGAAAATATAATTAGCAAAAGGAGAAAATAAGGAAGAGATGAAACCAAAATTATTATTGAATTTATGCCAATGTGAGATCAATCCTCAAGAGTGTCACGTCCCTTTTAATCCTTGAATTAGATGGAAATCTAAGCCTCAATGGATGGAGGGAAACAATTCGTAAAGGGGAGAGAGAGCGAGAGAGAGAAGAGAAGAGCCAAAAAAATTAAATTCAAAATTCAAAATTTAAAATTCCGTTTGTCACTTTGTTCCATTTTTTTCGGCTATGAAAACGGCCTCTTTTTGGTTTGTGGCCTGAAGGACAATTGTAGCCTTGGATGTCAGCTTCAAAACGCCACTGGATTGGGCTCAATCAGATGTCTGTGGACTGAGATATGGCCCAAATACTGCACTTTACTCAGGATCCGCGACTGCAGCGTTCTGACTTTTTCCAGGCCCAGTTTCAGCTTCTTATCATCAAAATTGGTTTTTGACCTCTTCATAGGAATAACCTCTTCATAGGAATTATGCAACTTTCTCTTAGCTTTCTTACAAATCAAGAATCACAATGAAAGGAGTTCTACAACTCAAGATATGGTTCAGAAATCAAAACAGCATCAGAATTTGCCAAATACTGGAAAAATTAAATAAAGCCCAAATAAAATTCAAACATCATAAAATGATCCAACTCAACCAATTAGGCACAAAAGAGGATTAATGAGTTAGGAATTAGAGGAAATAATGTTATAAAAATTCAATTGATCAAATTCCCCCACACTTAGCTCTTGCATGTCCTCATGTAAGACACAATCAAGCAAATAAAAACATGTAACCTAAAAAATCATAAAATAATCAAAACAAATAAACAAATTCTCCAATGAATTCTTAGAAGTGCTGAACTTAGGGACATAAGATCAAATAAAGCATCAAGAGTTCTACAACAATCAAATATCCAACTCCCAACCTCTCAAAAATGCAAGCCAAGTAATATCATTCAAAGTGTATAGATCAAGTATGAAAGATCTCACAAGATGGTGTATACAACTCAACTCTCAAGTGTATGGTTCAAAGTGTTTCACTCAAGTCACCTCAAAAGACAATGCATTACCATAAGCTTGTTAATCTTCTACTTCTCCACTACTTACAATCATATGCAAACACAAATCAAGAGGACTTTATTCAATGGTTGTAATGGGGCTAAGGTAAGGGTAGGGAAATATGAGGATATGATAAGATACAGCCAAAGAGAATAGGAATAACATTGGTCCTTAGACAAATCAAGCCATAACATACATTTATTCTCCTTGGACTTCCTTTTCCCTTCATCAAAATTTTCCATTTTCTTTGTAATAATTTTTTTTATTATTATTTTTTTCTTCTTTTTCTTCATTTTTTCTTCTTCTTGCATTCTTTCCGAACCTCTACACTTGAAATGCAATAACATTAATGAAACCAATGCACTCCCTATTTCCTAAGGTTAGGTATAACATGGTTTTCCACTTAAAACTTATAATGTGCTAGAAGCCAAAGAATGGTCAATAAGGCTCAAAGGAGCTAAACAAAGGGCAAAATGCAAGGTAAGTTATATGGCCAAGTGGGTACAAATTTGAAAGAAATGCCTCTATCATGATCATAATTGCATATGAAAATTTTAGCCTCAAAGAAGAATCAAAACAAGTTCTAGAATGACAAAATCTAAGAGGGAAAACACACAAGAAAGAAAAGAATGACATGAATTTCAATCATCCAAAAATAAAGCTCAAAAGCTCGCAAAGGTAAAGTCTAACATATTCAATCATACAAATCAAAATCAATCACCCAATTCACATATATCAAGAGGAAGAAGTAAAAATAAAATCATGTAGGAACTCTATCCTCCTTAATAATTAATGCCTTAACTCAACAACTTCCAATTCAACAAAGGAAAACAAAACAAAAACAAAACAAAACAATGCTAAATAATAAAAACCTATTACTCTCCCCCCCCACACTTCAATTTTACATTGTCCTCAATGTAATGTATAATGGAAATGTAAGTAAAATATAGTAAGGAAAGGCAGAGGGGAACTCCCTAATCAAGCATAAGTGGCCGCTAGCAAGCGGACCTCCTCAATGGTCTCCAAGGGTGTGTCCTCATGAAAAGGCTTCAAGTGGTGGCCATTTACTGTGAATACTTTATCTGTTCCAGGCTCCAAAATCTGTACAACACCATATGGAAAAATCTTAGTTACTATATAGGGGCCAAGCCACCTAGAACGCAGCTTACCAGAAAAGAGCTTGAGGCGAGAGTTGTAGAGAAGCACTTTCTGGCCTATGGAGAATTCCTTCCATAGCAACATCTTATCATGAATGAGTTTTGTCTTTTCTTTGTACATGCGGGAGTTCTCATAGGCTTCCAACCGAATCTCCTCTAACTCCTGAAGTTGGAACTTCCTGTGAAGTCTGGACTGACTCATATCAAGGTTACAGTTCTTAACTGCCCAATATGCTTTGTGCTCAATTTCCACCGGAAGGTGGCATGCCTTGCCAAAGACAATTCTATAGGGGGACATCCTCAAAGGGGTCTTGTAGGCAGTGCAATAAGCCCATAGTGCATCTTTAAGCTTCTTTCTCCAATCCTTCCTGTTTGTCTGAACTGTTTTCTCTAAAATATGTTTCAGCTCCCTATTTGATACCTATGCCTGTCCATTAGTCTGCGGATGGTATAGAGTTGAAACCTTGTGAGTGACACCATATTTCCTTAGTAGGGCTGCCATGTTCCTATTACAAAAATGGCTTCTTTGATCACTGATGATTGCCCGGGGCACTCTGAACCTACAAAGAATGTGTGATTTGACAAAATCTACAACAACATGAGAGTCATCAGTTCGGGTGGCCTTGGCCTCCACCCACTTGGAGACATAATCAACAACCAACAAAATATAAACAAAACCAAATGAGACAGGAAATGGACCCATAAAATCAATACCCCAAACATCAAATATCTCACAAAACAATAATGGTTGTTGAGACATCTCATTTCTAAGGGAGATAGTACCTGTCTTCTGACATTGTTCACAATTCTTACAATAGGTGTAAGAATCTTGAAACAATGTGTGAAAAATCTTATGCAAGAGCATTATCATATCCCACAACAGAAAGATCATCATAAGAGTTATTTGCACAACCCACAGAATAATCAGAATGTGCACAATCAGTATTTTCCACTACTGCAAAATTTGAATTAGAATCTGTTCTAATAACTCCAAGATCAGCATGTAACTCCTCAGAAAAATTCTGTGCAAACTTTGAACCATATATGCATGCATTAAATTTGGCACAAACAGCACATAAATCATGAATTCCATCACAATCTGAACATTGAAAGTGATCTCTAATGCCTACAATTTCAGGAAACTCAGCACACAAATTCGCATGCATATCATCAACCAATGTATCAATGATATCTAAATGAAACACAGAATGCTCTTCTAGTGGATATCTCATGGCATCATGCAATTTAAAATGCACCTTGTTATCTCCAAATTCCATGGATAAAGTACCAGAGTGTACATCAATCTTAGTTTTAGCAGTTTTCAAAAATGGCCTACCTAAGATCAATGTTGGTTGATTAACATCATCCTCTATGTTTAATACATAAAACTCAGCAAGAAAAATAAGATCATTTACTCTTACCAACACGTCTTCTAAAACTCCTTCAGGGTGTGCTGTGCTTTGGTTGGCAAGTTGGATCACCACTTCCGTTGGCTTGAGCTTTCCAATGTGCAAAGATTGGTAGACTGATTTTGGCATCACATTAATTAAAGCTCCAAGGTCCAACATGGCTTGATTGAATTGCTCGCTTCCTATAATGCATGGAATGGTGAAAGTCCCAGGATCCTTGCATTTTGGAGGAATGCTTGGCTGAATGATGGCAGAAACATTTCTGCCCATGCTCACTTTTTCATTTCCCTTTAGCCTTCTTCTATGAGTGCACAAGTCCTTGAGAAACTTGGCATACTTTGGGATCTGTTTGATACCTTCTAGGAGTGGAATATTGACTTCAACTTTCCTAAAAGTTTCCATGATCTCCTTGTCCATTTCTACCTCTGCTATCTTCTTGTTTTGAGTCACTCTATTTGGAAAAGGCAGCGGAATGTTTGGTTCAGAATGGCTACTGTTTCTCTTGTTGGATGACTCTGGTTGTTCTTCAGCTGCATCTATCTCTACAGAAGTTGATTTTTCTGTTGCAGCATTTGGAACTTCAAGCTGCTTGCCACTTCTCAAAGTGATGGCGCTCACATTCCTTGGATTACTCACGGATTGGGAGGGAAGGTTGCCAAAACCTTGGGATTTCAGCTCATTTACTGTTGTAGCCAACTGACCAATATGTGTTTGTAGATTCTGGATGCTGGCTTCTGTTCTCTGCTGAAACTGGACACTGCTGGTTGCCATTTGCTTCACCAAATCTGCTAGGCTTGGTTCTGAGCTACTGCTTTGTGGTTGGTCTAATTTAGCTTGCTGTGAATACTGCTGCCTCATGTTTGGTTCTGCAGCATGGTGCCTGAACTGATATTGAGGTTGCTGTTGTTGTTGTTGGAACTGATTAGAATTACCATACCTCAGGTTCGGGTGATCTCTCCATCCGGGATTATATGTATTGGAAAAGGGGTCATAATTCCTTTGCTACTGTTGTTGTTGGAAAGGTTTTCTAGGAAAAATTCCAACAACTATTTCATTGGTTTCTTGCATCTATGGACATTGATCTGTTGCGTGACCTAGTACACAGCAAATTCCACAAATGCTTGCTGCTGCTGGAATGGACTGCTGAGGTTGCTGTGTCTGATCGAGTGCCAAATGCCTCACCAAAGTTGTCAACTCTTCTATTCTGTTCTCCATCCTTTGCTGGTTTGTATCAGAAGTTTTCACTTCATTCACTCCTCTTGTAGACACCATGGCTCGGGTACCAAATTGTTGCATTGGCAGCCATGTTTGCAATCAATTCACGAGCTGCAATGGGAGTTTTGTCTACCAAAGCCCCTCCAGAAGCAGCATCAACCATACTTCTGTCCATTAGCATGAGACCTTCGTAGAAATATTGAATGAGGAGTTGGTCGCTGATTTGATGGTGTGGACAGCTTGCACACAATTTCTTGAACCTCTCCCAATACTCATGCAGAGTCTCTCCAGCAATCTGCCTTATGCCACAAATTTCTTTCCTAATAGAAACAGCTCTTGAGGTAGGTAAGAACTTCTCCAAAAACATCCTCTTCATGTCCTGCCAGCTTGTGATGGAACCAGGATGCAAGTAGTACAACCAATCCTTGGCAGATCCATCCAAAGAAAAAGGAAATGCCCTCAGCTTGTTGTGGTCCTCCTCTACTCCATGTGGCTTCATGGTTGAGCACACCACATGGAATTCCTTCAAGTGCTTGTGAGGGTCTTCCCCAGCTAAACCATGAAACTTGGGTAGCAGATGTATCAGCCCTGACTTAAGCTCAAAGTCTGCATCCAAATTCGAATACTGAATTGCCAAAGCGTGATAGTTAACATCAGGTGCTGCGAGTTCCTTCAAAGTTCTGTTAGTCATATTAATAATATCCTTGGAATCAGAATGCAAGGAATCAGACTCAGACTCAGAATGCACAAAAACAGAATGATTAATACTACTAATAGAACCTACACTATTATCAACTTGAATATTAGTGAAAGAAAGCCTTTTATGTATTCTACTTAAATGATGAAATGTCCTATCAATTTCAGGATTAAAAGGATGCAATTCACCAGGGTTAGCTCGTGTCATGCAACATTAGACACATAAGAATGTTGGACACACAATATGCCGACAAAATGCTAATAGAGAAATAAAACTAACAAAATAATTTTTAAAAAATATAGGACCACCACAGAAGTACTAGAAATAAAATTTCCTATTTTTGAGAATTTTTTTACTATTTTTAAAAATCCTAAAATACTAAAAAATTTGAAAAAGTGGTCTAAACGATGGAATTTTGGAATTTAAGGGGTGCACCACTCAATTTAGTCTCTTAATTTTGTGGTATTAATCCTTGAATTTTTCTGCAATGTTTGACAAAGTTTCAGCTCAATCCAGTCGCTAGAAAAATTACCTTTTTACCCTTTTGTAGAAAAACACCTACCAGATGAAGGAATTTGCGGGAGCTCCTTTGGACAAAGTTGATCAACGTGATGAATGCTATTTGGACACCAAAATTCAGCCTCAAACTCCAAAGTGAAGTTTTTCACCTATAAGACTCACAATAAATACCTCAAAATAACAACCAGAATTGCAAACCAGAATTTTGTACACATAATGAAAAACAAAATAAGGAAGATTAACACTCTAAATATGTTAAAAACGCCAATGATTCCCCGACAACAGCGCCAATTTGACACGTGGTCGCACATGGGTCAAAATACACCTAATTACTATAGTACGAGGTAAGCAACTAGGGTCATTTCTCAAAGAATCAGAAGGACAAATTAATCTATTTAGACAGTATATAAAACGGGGGGTTTGTTTATAAAAGAAACCAAAAACGCACTTAATTATAATTAGAATGAAGAGTGAACAAAAATTGAAATTTCAATCCAAGAATTAAGAAAAAAAATGACTATTCTATCACCGGATTTTTAAGAGAGTACATCAACAAACAATTTAGTAATTAACAATGAATCCGAATGAAACCTCAATTTGAACTCAACATTCACATGAAAACCTTCATGCATTCAATTAGCACATAATTAATTAAAATTCAGAAAACTCTAGAACCTAATTGAATTGTGCCAATTTAATTTACCAATGCCGTTAATCGTAGTTTTTAAACCTGAAAATCCAATTCATGTTCCTTAAAACATAATTACATACATCAATCGAATAATACGTAATCAAACAGATGCATAATCATCAATCCAAATGAATAACTTCAATTTGAAAATATAATTAGCAAAAGGAGAAAATAAGGAAGAGATGAAACCAAAATTATTATTGAATTTATGCCAATGTGAGATCAATCCTCAAGAGTGACACGTCCCTTTTAATCCTTGAATTAGATGGAAATTTAAGCCTCCATGGATGGAGGGAAACAATTCGTAAAGGGGAGAGAGAGCGAGAGAGAGAAGAGAAGAGCCAAAAAAATTAAATTCAAAATTCAAAATTTAAAATTCCATTTGTCACTTTGTTCCATTTTTTTCGGCTATGAAAACGGCCTCTTTTTGGTTCGTGGCCTGAAGGACAATTGTAGCCTTGGATGTAAGCTTCAAAATGCCATTGGATTGGGCTTAATCAGATGTCTATGGACTGAGATATGGCCCAAATACTGCACCTTACTCAGGATCCACGACTGCAGCGTTCTGACTTTTTCCAGGCCCAGTTTCAGCTTTTTATCATCAGAATTGGTTTTTGACCTCTTCATAGGAATAACCTCTTCATAGGAATTGTGCACCTTTCTCTTAGCTTTCCTACAAATCAAGAATCACAATGAAAGGAGTTCTACAACTCAAGATATGGTCCAGAAATCAAAATAGTATCAGAATTTGCCAAATACTGGAAAAATTAAATAAAGCTCAAATAAAATTCAAACATCATAAAATGATCCAATTCAACCAATTAGGCACAAAAGAGGATTAATGAGCTAAGAATTAGAGGAAATAATGTTATAAAAATCCAATTGATCACGGCTCAGCAGAGTGTCTTCCGCAGATTTACCCGAGTGATTCATGGAGTTGATAGTGGAGGCTCATGGATCACCCAGTATGTGGCTGACACACCCATTGAGATTGCCTTTTCTGTCCCTCCTGGTGATACTCAGTTGCCTTACCCGGCCTTGTTTGCTTCCCCCACACCTATGTCTGTGGACCCTCGTACACCTACTGCTAGATCAACCCATGCACCTGTGCCATTCCCTTTTATGTCTCCTACTCCCTCACCTATGCCAATGGAGGGGGATATCCATGTGGTGGAATCCTTCATTAGGTACACTACTATGCCCTCTTACATGCATCCTGCACATCCATCTACCTTGGTTCCACCTACTATCACCCGTTCACCACCTCGCACTGCTGGATGGATCAAGGAGAGTAGTGGAGATCATGGCACGACTGCTGCTTCTAGCTCCACTTCCTCGACATCATCTGAGGAGTCCGATCCCATTGAGGATTACTCGCCTCTGGATTGATGTCATTTATTCACTTGTGTTTTAGTGGAACTGCTCTTAGGGAGTTTGGTCTGTTTCCATTTCAGTTATGTTGTATTTGAATCTTGATGACCGTACTGTCTACTTATGAACCTATCGTTTCCGCAATCTGAATTTTAATCTATATGATGTCTTCCTAATGATGAGTTGTGTTAATTTCTATCATGCAATTGAGATTTGAATTATGATATAATAAGATGAGAAATCCTTATGCATGTTAACTCTCTCAGAGAGAAAGGGAACTATACTTGTAAACTCCATGAAAAAAAAAGAAGGAAAAAAAAATATTACCAGATTTTGGTGTTTTTTAAACTATCATGTTATAAAGTAGTTATCAGTAATGTAGTGAATTGGGTCGCTACACATCAGATCTCAAATCTTGATCATTGATCCCTTACCTTTATTGAACAAAGCTTTTTCAATGATACTACAACATGAAAGACAAAATTATCTTGGTTCCTTCAAATAGATGAAAGTTAGTGTTAATCATGCTGATGGTCAAAGAAGAGGATATGGCAGAGGCAAAGAAAAACAAAAAATGTGCACCTACGATGGTAGAGAAGGACACATTGCTGATGTGTGTTACAAGAAACATAATTATCTATCAACCATGAAGGAGAAGAGTCTGAATGTCTCTACTGCTAATAATATCAGCAACAGATATGACAAAGATGACATGGAAAACAATCTATAGGATACTGGAACTAGAGGTAACTTTTTTCCAGAGGAACAATACAAAGGCTTATTCAACCTGCTGAAATAGACTGAACTTGAAAACACATCTCACAACACTACTCAGGTATCAATCTGGAAGAACAATGAACCTTCAGGTGCCAAATCAAACAATGAAGGTATCTTTCTTAATGATCAACATTTTGCTCAAGCTTGGATCTATATTCAGGAGCCTCGGACCACATATATAGCTCACTGAGTTTATTCATTTCTCACAAAGCAATTGATCCTTTAGAGGTCAACTTGCCAAATGGTACTATAACTAAAGCCACACTCAAAGGCACTATATACAATTCTCACCATATTTGGTCTTGAAAAACATTATTCTTGCCAGATTTCACTTAATCTTATATCAGTGTCTAGACTATGCACAAATTTTAAATGTCAATTGTTCTTTAGCAATGACACTTGTGTAATTCAAGATGGGAGAAGCAAGAAGATGATTGGTTCGGCTAAGATACTAAATAATTTGTACTACCTCACTTAGCCATAGGCTTGTCAAAGTGTCACCAAATCTGTGAATGTGAACAATATTGAAAGTTCGTGTAGCATTATTAATGGTAATTCTGCAATACATTCCTTGTTTTCATCTAAGAG